CCAAGTCCATCTCAGATCTCTAGAGTAGAGCTAAGAGAGTCTGAAGGCAGAACCGCCAGGCATGCACTGCCTGCTCACTGACTGGTACTGCTATTTTAGAAACGACTCACTTGATTAGAGCTCATTCTTCTCATTTAAAAGAAAGGCATTTTTCATTATGCTAAATTAATATTTGACAAAGGAGGCAAGAGCATACAATGGAGTCAGGACAGTCTCTTCAATAAATGATGTTGGGAAAACTGGACAGATACATGCCAGAAAATGAAACTAGATCACCAACTTACACAAGAATAAACTCAAAATGGATAAAAGACTTAAATGTAAGTCGAAGAAACCCTAGGCAGCAAAATCTCAGACATCTCCTGTAGTAATATGTTTATGGCTGTATCTCCTGAGCAAAGGAAACTAAGGAAGAAATAAACAAATGAGACTACATCTAATAAAAAGCTTCTGCACAGCAAAAGAAACCATCAACAAAATGAAAAGGGAGCCTATTGTATCGGAGAACATATTTGGCAAAGATACATCTGACAAAGGGTTAATATCCAAAATATATAAGGAACTCATATGACTTAACAAAATGAAGACAAACAATCCAATCAAAAAATGGGCAAAGGACCTAAACAGACACCTCTTCAAAGTGGACATACAGATGGTCAAGAGGCATATGAAAAAATGCTCAAACTCACTGATCATCAGAGAGATGCAAATTAAAGTAACAATGAGGTATCACCTCACACCTGTCAGAATGGCTACTATCAACAAATTAACAAATGACAAGCTGGTGAGGATGTGGAGAAAAGGAAACCCTACCACACTGCTGGTGGGATTACAGACTGGTGCAGTCATTATGGAAAACAGTATGGAGTTTCCTCAAAAAATTAAATATGGAACTACCATTTGACCTAGTGATCCCACTTCTAGGAATATATCCTAAGAGACCCAAAACACCAATCAGAAAAAACATGCACCATGTTCATAGCAGTGCAATTATACAATAGCTAAGACTGAAAACAGTACAAGTGCCCATCAGTAGATGATTGGGTAAAAAAAACTGTGGTACATTTACACTGTGGAATACTATGCAGCAGTAAAAAAAAAAGAAAAAGAAAAAAAAAGAAAAGGATCTTTTACCCTTTAAGACAGCATGGAGGGACCTGGAGAGTATTATGTTAAGTGAAATAAGCAGTCAGAGGAAGACAAGTATCACATAATCTCACTCATATGTGGAATCTAATTAACAAAATAAACTGATGAACAGAGTGGATCCAGAAAAGGAAAAAAAAAAGGCATTTTCAAGAACAAAGAAAGCTGGGAGAAAATTTCACTCAACAAAAGATATAAAATTCAAACAAAATCTTGTGAGAAGCTAAAGCAAATGCCTTGTCATAGACTATTAATTTTCTAGCATCAATAATGCCATTCCTTGTGAAAAGGCCACTGACGATGTTAACATTATAACAAATTCAAGCTACTGAAGTAGCTAATTTGGAAACACTTTATCACACATTAAAGCAACATGTCCTTTCAATGGGCACAAACAGACAGGGTCTCACACTGAAGGCTCCCTTGATAATGATGCTGCCAGGAGAAGACCGGCCCAGTCATTTGTCTCATCCTGGAGAGGCTACCAGTCACTCTCCAAACATATCTGCAAGGTGGACAGTAACTGCACCTTTGCTCTCACAGGTATTTTTAAAAGATTAAATGAATATTGAGCAGAATTATAGTTGCAGAACCCCTCAGACTGTGGTTAAGGAACAGTGAGAGCTGAAAGCAAAGCTCTGGGCACTGCTAGTGACAGCGTCAATAATGGCTTCTCCTCAGGTGCAGGCACCACGCCTCCGGGAGCAAACAAGGACTCTGCTGGGAAGAGAGACCTGGTAGACTTGGTTCTGCAAGTGGGAGCAATGGAAACACCTAGAAAGTACTCAGAAATACGGCAGAGGTCAAATCCTATGATAATTATTTCTCTGAATCTGGCTAATGCTGGCAAATAATAGGAGAGTATCACAAAGAATCTCAATATTTCATTAAAATTTTCTAAAGCAGTGGTGTATTTTCCTACTGCAGACAAAAATGAGCGTGTCAAATAGCAATTACCTTTCGAGATCTTCCTTTTCCTCCTCTTGTTCACATTTCTCAGTTCCAAACTTGGCTTTCAGTGAGCGGGCTCTAGCAATTAGGGCTTCCACATTAGTAATTTGATGGATGATTTCCTAACAGTAGAAAAGAGAAAGTCGTAACACTGGAAAACAGCAAAGAAAGGCAAAGCCTTTTAAAATGTTTCTTGAAAGTAAGTACTGCCCACTGGGAAGAGACAGTACTTGTCAAGATGCTGACAGTCACCCAACTTACTTCTAGTTTCTTGTCTTCCGGATTGGGAAAGTGCAGGACTTTGCTGGAATGGGATATTATCTGCTTGATAATCTTCTTAACGGAAGAAATGTTTCCAGACTTTCTATGAGAAAGATCAAAACCATCATTAAATAAGTTAGACAAAATACACTTTCATTTTAGAAATGAACTAATTACTATTCAAGTAAGACATTTACCTTCTTCCTTTACCTTGAGGACGGCTGCATGAATTACACAAGGTAGCAGGTGCCGAGCGAGGTCTGCAGGTTTCTGCATTGCCAGATAGTGCAGCACCTGGAGGAGGCACAGAATCAGATCAATGATCAATGCAGCTGCCTACGAATAAAGCAGCCATTTATGAAACAAAAAAATCCTCTGGACCAATGATTTTCAACTTTTTTCATCTTATGGCACACATAAACTCATTACTAGAATTCTGCAGCACACCAAAAAATATATTTTTTGACAATCTGACAAAAAAAAATAGGTATAATTTTGATTCATTCAGACCAGACGGCTATTGTGTTAGCTGCTACCATTTTTTTATTTGACAATCTAAGGGAAAAGAGATCAGTGTCCCTGACCAAATGGTCAGGTGTTGCACGCTTTAAAAATTATTGCGGCACACCGGCTGCTTTGGACCACTGAACTCACATCTATAACACAAGTAGAGAAGAGCTCTTTTCTCTTAGTATCTACCCCTACATTCCAGGTAAATAGCTACTACTTCCAAAGATAAGAATAATGTTACTGAAGACAACTGCATACTTCTGTCTTCAATAAGGGTTAATATTCTCATATCCCCCATCCCCACTTCCATATGTAATGCATACAAATTAATAAAAACTACTCGTAAATCATACCACCCAGGGATAGAATTTTTAATGGTGGAACATTTTCATTCCAGAATTTTTCAAAATATCAAGTACACATAATATTAAATGAAGTAATATTAAGCGTCTAAAATACTGTTTGTGACCTATTTTTCTCACTTATTATTTCTAAACATTTCTAGTGACCCTCCATTGATTTTTTTGGGGTTGGTTTTTTTATTGTCTTTTTTTTTCTAAAGTGGAAATTGTTTTACTTTTCTGATTTAAAAAATACAGCATTCTTATCATGCAGATTGACTCTTCTTTCTGTGGGGGTAGAGGGTCCGGGTGACATTACCTCACTGGTGCTTGGCCAGAATTCCATACTGGCTGATTAAGATTATGTCTTTGGGAGAGGTTAAAACTGCAACAGATAAGGTATTAACCAGGTTTGATGTCACTGGCTTTTATGTAGCACAAGTGATACCATTTTCTTCCTTTTTTAAAATTTTCTTGGATTGCAGTTTTAAACATTAGTTCTGTTTTAGTGTTTTGATTTTGAATACTCACCGGAGGACATGTTTTTATTGGGTTTTTTTTTTTTTGGAGAGAGGGGAAAGGAGAGAGAGAGAGAGAGAGAGAGAGAGAGAGAGAGAGAGAGAGGAAGGGAGGGAGAGGAAGAAAAGGAGGAGAGGGAGGGAGAGAAGAGGCAGAGGGAGAGACATTGATTGGTATGTGCTGGACCAGAAATCAAATCCACAACCTTTTGGTGTGCGGGATGATGTTCCAACCAACTGAGCCACCTAACAGGGCTAGTGTTTTGATTTTTCTCCAAGGACTCTGATAAAATGAGTATTATTCCTACTTTTCCTATTTTCCATTTCTACTACTTTCTCTCCAACCCACTTTAGTCCTTTTGCCACTTTTTCTTGACGCCTTTTATTATATTTCAATATGAATCTACTCTCTCTTGGGCCCCTTGTCATTTAGTCTTTATTTTTGATATGGTATCTTTTTCTTCTATTTCTATATTGAGTTAAACCAGCTGTGGTTTCACTACTTTGCAGAGTTTTGGGGTCCATTTTTTCTCTTGGTTTTAGTATTTCTGATTAAAAGTGATTTTTCATATCCCCCATGCTTGTTTAAAGATATCTGATTCAGTATGTATGGTGTGTTGTTAACAATTTTCTGCTTCATGGTCAATTTTCTGGGAAATGTTTTCATTAGCTAACTGACCCACCTGCATTTTGTTTTTTTATACTTTTGTATGGATGTGGTCTGCTCTTTAGTATACCTACTCATACCACAATTTGAAAGTGCCCCTTTTCTGCAGTTTCTTCAAAGGCCAGCAGAAGATGAGGGAGGTTGATGTTATTTTTTTGGTTTTTTTCTTTTATTATTTTATTGATTTGGGAGAGGAAGGATGAGGGAGAGAGGGATAGAAACATCAATGATGAAAGAGAATCACGCCCCTTACAGGGCATTGAGCCCGCAACCCAGGCATGTGCCCTAACCGGGAATCAAACTGTGACCTCCTAGTTCACAGATCGACACTCTACCAAGCCACACTGGCCAGGCAGTTGATAAGCCTTGTTTGTCTTTCACTTCTGCATGATCCTTAGTTTCCCTCTCATTTCCTTCTTTCCCATCATTTCTTTATCTCTAAGGGGTATCAACCCTTCTCTATATATCTGGTTTCCCAAGACAGTATCTGAGAGTCACTACCTGGTCCTCAGCTACAGCAGTGCACTGTGCGTGTAGCCCTGCCTAAGTGTCCTCCCTGAGTTCTTTGAGCAGGCTTATGAAATGGGTAATGTTACTCCTGTCTTTAGACAGAAAACCAAAGCCTAGACAGGCTAATGTGATTTGGCAAAAAGTGCTGCACTTGGAAATGCCAGTCCAGCGCTAAAGTCAGGGAGCTCCAAGCAGTGTTAAGTGAAGCAGATATCCCCAAGATGGGGGTGTTGGAAGCTAGCAATTAACTTGTCCTGCAAACCTGGTTTAAATGTGTTTGTAGAGCCCAGATTTAAGGTGGGTGTGGGCTAGCTCCTCTTGTGAGGACTCTGACAGTCAAGTGCAGAATGAAGATGGGGAGCATTGGTATTGCAGGAGGATTCCAGGGACAGGAAGCCAGTCCTGCACTGCAGTACACTAGAACCTCCTGCTTTCTGGGGCATTCCAGAACTGGCCTGTAGGGAGGTTGAAATAGAGGGAGCAGGACTCCCACCATCTGGATTATTCTTAGATATTGCATCCTACCAAAAAAGGAGCATTCACT